GCCTTCATAGCAGAATGCTTAATGAACCGAGCACACGAAAACTTGATCATTTATTTCAGCTCCCAGTGATCCTACAATACGTACTCAAATGGGAGATGTCAGCGTGCACTGTGTGTGATGTTCGGGGTCACTCAAACCACTTGCACCTCCTCATTCCAAGCACAAACAAATCCCGATATTGTTGGAGTAAATTCCCGCGCGTCTCAGTTTGGATTTTCTCTTAGCATTACTCCAGGCGCTACAGCAGTCACGTGGTTTGTGGCTAATTCATCTAGATTATAGCGTCGAATATTACGAGGACAGAGAAACATCAAACTGGAAAATATTGGAAAGGAAGTGGTAGAAGGAAGTCTTGAAACACCTCAGCACTGACAGTGTTCTGGCTCACATTCGAACCCAGAACTTTCCCAACAAAATCCCAGAGTTGTGCCGCTAGATCAGCTGGTTCCCTCGTCGTCACATTAAGTTGCAATTGACAAGGCAGAAAATATGAAAACGTACAAAATCACATTAGTGCAGTTGTGTAATTATACAAGAATACAGAATAAATTAAGTTGTAACAATTATTCGTTCCAGAAACACACAAGACTTTCTTGGTCATTTCAATTCAGTATTAAAAAAATTTCCTTCACAAGTCTGTAACACCTTAAAACTTTTCACTGTCTCTTGTCTAAGAAACACGGGGGAACCATACCAAACACTACTTGATTTAAAAGGAAAATAAATCGAACAGTTATGTTCGCCTAAAACATGATGACAACAACATCTTCAGAATAGGACATTATTTAAAATATGGCAGACATGCCTCGTACACTGAGAGTCTTAGTTTCAAAACAACTTGCATTCTCTTGTTCAATTATACAGGGTAATTCATGAAGTTTTACCCCCACTTAGGGGGGGCATTCCTGAGGTAATTAGGAACAAAACTGTCAATACACTAATGGTATCGAACTAATAATTAAAGAGATACAGTAATTTGAAAATTGGTGAAAAATATTTTCTTCTTCGAATTTGAGTCAAAACAAATTAGAAATACAATACAAACACTTTTTAACCCGTTAATGTTTTAGGAAAGAAGCATTTTAAACCATTTTTTTTTCAATTTCTTAAATTTCATCCATGATATGTATACAGTGGCCGTCTTGTAGTGCACTCAGTTTCACCTGTTACTTCACGACATGTTTCGGCAACATAGTGCCATCATCAGGTGCCCTAATTACGCTAATCTATTGCATTTCGTGCCTTTATAAAAATATTTAAAAAGTTCGTATTTGTCAACTATAATGAATTTACAAGCAATGCAATAGATTAGCGTAATTAGGGCACCTGATGATGGCACTATGTTGCCGAAACATGTCGTGAAGTAACAGGTGAAACTGAGTGCACTACAAGACGGCCACTGTATACATATCATGGAAGAAAATCAGTGCAACAGGACGCTAAAATACAACATTCTTAATTTTGCATTGTGCAACATTTTCATCGATTTTGTTACAAAATTACATTATTTTCAGCATCCCATTCTGTAAACATACCAATGGTTGCATATCACACCCTTCTATCAATCTGTTTCCTTTAAACTTAGTGCTTTAGAAGACGACAGGATTTTCGTATGATTTTCAAAAAATTCTCCCTGCACGTCAACACAACGGGTCGCACGCGTATGAACCGCGCTCGTAGCATTTCGCAGTTCCACTCGTTTGTTCCTTATTGTCATCGCCGCGTCCAGAATACGTTCAAGCAACGCTTCACGTGTTTGTACCTTTACCTGGTACACAATGTCCTTCATCCAGCCCCAAATGCAATAAATTAAACGGCCCGATTAGCTGATCATACAGAACGCCACACCAGACATTGACACTGAATCAGTGTTGAAAATTCGATTCTATCGTGGCACGGGGATTATTGTCTGCCCAAACATGTAAGTTGCGACTACTGTTGACCCCGTCCCGTGTAAACTGTGCCTCAAGGATGCAGCCCGTTCTCATGAACAGTCCTCCACGCCATGGACTGAGAAATACCGAACCGCCGAGCTAGACGTCTTGTGCTGGCACGCGGACTGCGCTCTACAGCATGGAGAATGTTTTCTTCTTCGCACAATTCATGTTGAGGATTTCGTTCGTATTGTATACGAACGCTGGGGAGAGAACCAGTTTATCTTAATATGTTGAATGTACTGCTAATGGATTTAGGATTCGGAATCCTGCTATTAGGATAACGCCGGTCATATTCGGCAGCAGCGGCTCTCGCATTTCCATCACATACACCCAAAACAAACACCATAACGGCGTATTCCTGTGGAAAATGTGTACGGCATCTTAACTTCACAGTCACCAACACAACGTCCTATTTGCGACTGGAACGCTCTGCCTACCTACGTGTAACATTCCAGGCGGTGTGCGTTATCTTCTGACATAGCTGACTGGAACGTATGGTCCTACAGAGAAGGGGGGGGGGGAATAGAAAATCCATTGTTACTCCGTAACTATTGAAAACCGAACACAAGCTTATAAGGAAATTTTGCAGGAAATAACCCCAGGAATATGTACCATAAGCCGGAGTAAAATTTCGTGAATCACCCTGATATGTACACCGTCAATAATGCAACCAAAATATTTAAAATGAATAAAATAAAATACACCTAAACATGTTCTTCACTAGAAGTGTATTTTTATACTTTGAAATGTTATAAAATGTCATTTCATTCCCACTGCTTAGGTACGTCCCCAGTCAGGTTGTTACAGCAGTGGAGAAAGCCTATAAATTGAATTTAAAATAGTCACATAGTTCTCGGGCATCGATAAGAATTGCTCAAGCTATTATCATACGATATTAAGGAAAAACAACCAAAATTGTATGTAAGGTGTGGTCATTTCGCCTAACACGATAGTGTAACGAATGCATTACTTAAAACTTAACGCAATTCGTACGCCGGAAATTGTGATGTACATTTCCAATTTTGGTAAACCCCTTCAATAATATCTTGCATTTTTAAGTCTCCTATATTATTTTAGTCAAGAAATAATTGAACTCAGGGGTATAAAGTGAGACAAACATTGTTATCCCTCACAAAATTCAAGAATCTCAGCAATTCTTGGTTGTTGATGTCAGGCCAACTGTTAAAATTTCCGATCTTAGTCAAATTGGGGCAGTTCTGCATCAGTAGCCATGCCGTCTCCATGGTCAATGACAAATTCTGTCAGATTTCTGAATCCACCAGCCTTCACAATCTTACTGATGACGACATCAGTTATATGTTCCATGCCCACAAAATGTAATACAGTCAGGTTTACGTAGAGGTGCAGAACAGAGCAGAAAGTAAATTCTCCACCGTTACCTATTATTTTTAATTTTTCAAGATTTTGGAAGTGTGGCAATTCAGGATGGAAGGCTTGTGTACATGTCATGTGACAAAAATTAATCCAAAGCGAACGAAGACCTGTACAATATTTAATTACGTCATCCAAATTTATGTTGTCAACTTGCCAAGTTTCTAAATTTTTAAGAGTTGAACCGGAACGCCTAATCACATCGCTAAACCTAATTTCGGTATAGCTGCAATTTCGAATCGAAATTGAAACGACATTACTGAGTTCGCCGAGATCAGATATGTCCTGCGAAGGGGAATATAATAACAAATGCTTTATATTTGGACATTTCTGAACCAATAATTTTGCATCTGAAATAATTCCAAGAAATGCCACTACTGAAGGAAGACATGCTGTAAGGTTCCCTAATACAGGCTCAATTGGACGGAACCAAAATACATCCCGTATTTCTGGCAAACCCGAAAGTAGAGCTGCATATCTGTTTCCAGAAATTGATGTTTCTGCAATGTTCAGGGAAAGCAGGTTTCTCATCTTCAGCAAGTGCTCTACGCACCCATCATCCACGCTTTTGGAATCCTGGACAGAAATTTTCTTCATGTGAGGACAATATTTTGACAGCTGGATAATGGTTTCTGTAGTGCAGCACGTGTGGAAGGAAAAGTTTTCGAGATGTGTCAAAATTTGAATTCTTTCCACAAGGAGCTGAACGTACCTGGGGCGTGGAAGTGAGGGCAGAATCAGAGTTTTAATATTTGGGATGGCATACAGGAACTTAATTAAGAGTTCTTGCACGAAACTAGAGTAAGTGAAACTTATATCAAATTTAGAAATGCAAGGCAGAAGTACAGCTTTCAACATGTTTATGCAGACGCTCTCGCGAACTTGTCTGTCAAAAATTCTGCTGATCAAGGGGCCATGATTATAGTCGGAAAAATTTTCGACCATTTTTATAAATTCCTTGGTAGCATAAAGAACAACGAACTCCGATACGAAGGGAACAGGTAGCGAGGCGAGGCGTGCGCGCACCAGGACACACTCTTCCTCCACAGACTCGACCTCTTGGAGCCAGCTACTCTCGCCATTTTCAGCAGCTGCGTTCAGTCTGCGGATCCAGTTGACCCCCGCTCCTCGCACCATCTGGCAGACTTGTAGAAGCGCCATATTCTCCAGAAATTCCGGATTATTTTTCTTGCCCATGGCTCTTTCTGAAACAGACAAATAATTAGTCGCAGTTTTTCAAAATATTCATTGAATAAAATCAACGACTCTTAAAAATTATCCAAAGTATCCTCCCTCTTTCCACAGGCATAAGATGCAGTTGCTTCGTGACGTAGAGTAATTAAAGAAATGTCAGAATTTGATTCGAATTTTGGGGCAGACGACACACCTCGCGGGGCATTTTCGGTGCATACTGACACATTTCAAGATGGGGAATATGTGACATGTAATTACAGTTTTCTAATCTACAGCAATAGAATAAATGCGATCGGTGTTTTAGTAACAGCGTTTTCTCCCTCAAAGAAAAAGTAAAGGACCTTTTAGTTGATCGTGTGTGGTTGTATCCCCACAAACAGGCTACGTGTTTCGACTATTAATTTTCATGTTATTTTTCGCTCCTAACCAGGAAAGTAACATTCATACATGGTGCTATGACATGGCCGCTTCTTTCAAGAGGCTTTACCATTAACTGCTTCTTTTCAACTGAATCTCTCCTTAGTAGACTCGGAACTGACCAATATGTTACGAAAATAAATCACAAAATAAGCAACACGAAATATTGCCTGTACCTGAAGCGTATCTTACTGTGCCTCTGATAGCCAGATATTTATTAAAACACTTTCACTGCACCTGAACTGTAGACTTCCTGCATAACAGTACATACAGCTTACGTTCCTACGCCCAGAGATAATGTTGAATATATCGCTCCTGCTTTCCGTCGGGAGCAGCAACTGAAACTCACTCACTCATGGAGCTGAGTTCTTGAGAAGCTGCCAGTTGTACAGCTACTCTACAACTTCCCAGTTCTGTATGGGACCCGAAAGTTCATTACCGTTTTCACTAGGGCACTCTACTGGTCCCTAACCTGAGCCAGATCGATCCAGTCCATACCATCACATCCTTTCTCTCTAACATCCATTTTAATATTATGCACCTACCTAAGTCTTGGTCTTCCTAGTGGTCTATTTCTTTGTGGCTTTCCACCAAATCCTACATGCATTCATCTTGTCATTCGTGCTATATGCCCCGCCCATATCATCGTCTTTAACTTTATCATTCTGATTAATTATGGCGAAGAGCACAAGTTATGGAGCTCCTCATTATGCAGTTTTTCTCCAACCTTCTCTCACTTCATCTCTCTTCGGGCCAAATATTCTCCTCAGGACCCTGTTCTCGAACACCGCCAGTGTCAGAGACCAAGATTTACACCCATACAGAACCACAGGCAAAATTACAGAATTGTATAATCTAATTTTTTATGTTTTTTGACAGCAGACGAGAAGACAAACGGTTCTGTGCTGAATGGTAGCAAACATTGCCGGAGTTCAGTATCCAATTAATTTCCTCCTGATCAGGTTTTCATTTGTTGTAACAGGATCTCCCCTAGCCCCTGTAATTCAGAATGAGCCCTCAGTCCCTGAGAAATGCAGAAGGCACTTCTAAATGGGCCCTGCATCAACAGCAGATTGACTTCTCTTCAGCGGTCAACGGTGCGGATCTTGGCATCGAATGCTTCTATGCCGAGGTCTGGTTGTTTCCAATATCATCATCATCATCATCATAGGCAAGAACAGCCCTGTTTGAGCCACAGCCTGCCTCAGAAGGTCTGCCGCCCGCTTTCATATGATCGGATTTCTTACAGAGCATGGTTATTAGCCTTGCGCCCAACCATCAAATTGGAGGGCTAATTTCCTGTATTTATGCCCACCAGGATTAGGGTGGCCGAGGTACATCCCCATACATTGGGTTCCCTTTCCACCCCTTCTATGAATTACAGAGGCATCCCATTATAATAACAGAAATTAAAGATTTTCATAAAAGTTTGTAATATTTGTTGTTGTGAACCAATATGTATACCAATCTCAACGGCGCAATTCATCAGTCGCACCCATCAGGCTGTGTGTATGTTCTTAGGAATGGCTCACTAGAAATGCTACCACGGCAAACATTGAACGCGCAACAACAGAAGAACTTCTGGACGCGTCGTTTTCTATCTGAGTCGTATCAAAGGAAAGCAGACAGTTAGTTCTTCCAAGAGCGTCTGGTTTAGATATATTGGTCACAATGCCAGAATGAGAGAGAAAAACAGTAAAATCAAACAATTAGGTGGGTCGATAATATTAAAATGGATCTTAGATAGGTTTAGGTTGTTTGGACTGAATTGATTTGGCTCAGGGTAGGAACCAGTGGAGGGATCTCGTGAACAGTTTAATGAACCTTCGAGCTGTATAAAATGTTGGGAAGTTCCTGAGCAGCTGCACAACTCGCGGCTTCTCAAGAAGGGCTCAGCACCATGGGGTACGTTGTGCACAGAACTTTCAGAATCACAAATACAAATATTGGGGTCGATTACTGCACAGCATGGAGCGCTATGACGTTTCGAAATACGTAAGAAGTCTCGGCGTCTCATCAGCTTGACACTAATTTTGTTACACTCTCCGGAATGCGTTTAGTGAAATTAGATTGCTTCGCATTAATGCTCTGACTGTCATGAACCGGAGTGACGTCAGAGTAACTGGACAGGGTAGCCCGGGTAGACTGGTCTGTATTGCCCTGTCAACAGCACATCACCCTCAAACTGAAGGACACGCGAATGTGGTCACGTTTTGTAGAGCAGCTTTCAGTCTCTTGAGCTGCTGTGTATAGCGAACATTGAACTGCCAACGCAGAGGGGAAAGTCGAAATTCAACCGTGTTTGTAAATCCATCTTTTGTATTAAATTACATCAGCTAATTAAAATAATATTTTCCGAGTACTATAAAATCTCACGCAGAGTTCTATTGAAAATATTTACGTAATGAATTTACCAGTACTTTCATGAGTATACACTATTATACATTGTAGCTCCTACCTCCGGTCCCTCCAGAGCAATCCACAAGCGTCCCAACTCAGAGCTGACGGCCAACTGATTCATCTGCAATGCGGTATGATCACAGCATATGCACCATGTCCAAAGTAGAACAGAAATTTCCCTCTTTAGATAAATTTCAGTTTAAAGTTATGGAACGATTCTCAAATATAACAGCACAACAAATATTCACTACTTCTCTAACCCTTACGAAATGTACTGTTGTTCATCAAGTGGGGGTGCCTATCAAGGAAACGATAGACGAATAATTGTATAAAACATCCACTTCAACCCATCTCCCACGTTTGTAGCCTCTTCTAATGCAGAGGCGTTAAATTTCTCTGCTCACTTCTGTCCAGTTTTTAAAGAGAAGCAAATATATACTCCTTTCCATGAAAGTACAGCCAGCATCGAGATGAAGTAACTGTCCTATACAGTCTGTGTAGTGTACTCATACAGACGTTTCTGACGACTTCTCAGTGTAGATTTAAGGCTGATGGAAACTTCTGTGCTCTGCGCGGCCTCACCAAAGACGAAGTGCCGGAAGGCAGAGGCCGAACAGTAGAGCACTTTTCCCCCGATAATGCCCCGGGACGTAAGCCGTTTGCCCTAAAATTTAGATAATATTCAAGCATTTTTAATGGCTTTCCACCATGCAACTGCATGTTATGTTCGTCGAAAGAGATGATAATTTTGGAAAAGTTGCAGGACACGTTGATTCCACTCAAATTTTGTTCTGAGCAACTGGTTCACCAATAGCAGGAAAAAGACTAACTAATCATTTGTTTGTTTCAGTAGGCGTCATGAACAGAAGAAAAGCCCGTCCACGCCTACAAGACATGGAGTATCAGAAAGTCTGCCAGATGGCGCGGAGAGCGGAGGACAAGTGGACACATAGACTAAGCTCAGCTGCTGTTACGGGCGAGAGTAGCTGGCTCCAAGAGGTCAAGTCTGTGGAGGAAGAGTGTGTCCTGGTGCGCGCACACCTCGTCTCCCTAACCGTGCCCATAGTATCAGAGGTCATTATTTATTGTGCGCCCCACGAATTCGTGAAATTCATCGAACATTATCAGCACCACAATCCTCGCCCCCTGACCATCAGAATTATTGACAGACAAGTTCATGAGAGCGTCTGCGGAAACATTATGAAAGCTGTACTTCTGCCTTGCATATCTACATGCCATTTAGGTGTCATGAATTCTGCTTTCGTGCAAGGACTCCTAATGAATTTGCTGTATACCATCCCAAAGATTAAAACTCTGATTCTGCCCCCACTACAACGTCCCAGGTGCTTGTATTTTCTTGTGGAAAGATTCCAAATTTTGACACAACTCGAAGAATTTTGCTTCCACACTGGCTGCACTATAGAAATCATTATTCAGCTGTCAAAATATTGATCTCACATGAAGAAAATTTCTGCCCAGGTTTCCAGGCGCATGGACGATGGGTCCGAAGAGCAATGGATGAAGATGAGAAACTTGTTTTCCTTGAACATTGCAGAAACAACAATTTCTACTAACAGCTATTCAGCTCTACTTTCGGGTTTGCCAAAAATTAAGGATGTCATTTGGTTCCCTCCAATCGATCTGTTGTAGGAAAACTTAAGGAGAGTCCAAATTACTCGTGATCGTGCTCGCCAGGCTTGTACTCGTCGAGAGACTAGTCTGGCTTTTACTTGTGCTCGTAAATCTTCGTCCACACTACTTCAGTTGCTCGCCAGGGTTCGGCGCGTGAGGATCCATACATTTACTCGTAGTGTGTATAGGCTGTAGTCGTATTTTAATATCTTGGCTATAGCTTTTAAATTAAACATTTCAAAATTGCTTGTCTCGTAACTTGTCATATCGTCCACAATACTCGCAAGCATAGCGAGTCACACGAGCACGAGTAATGTGAATGCGCCTTTACAATACACGTTTGTATTCCTTCAGCAGCGGCATTTGCCGGAAGCATTTCAGACGCAATATGACTGGT